TTGAGTTTATTCCTGGCTGTGATTATTGACAGCTTTTGCAGGTGTAGAAAAGGCATGGAAAGTAATACTGATAGTTATTTTCTTTCTGTTTGTTGCATGAACGCTGTTGTGGTTATGCTTAGGAAAATGTTGTCATGATTATCCAACGAGCGATGTGTTGATATATTGATGCCAAAACCACCTATCTCAATTTGTATGGTAGAATATTCAGGTCGCTTTAGAGGTATTTATTTTGCTTACTTTTGGTCGCTTATCGTACTTCAAAGTCCACAATGAAGCCTAGCTTCTGCCTTATTTCTTTTTAAAAACTCGTTATGAATTTCCAAAAAGCACTTTCGGTGGTTATTTTTTTACCGAGAAATGGCTGCTTTCGCGTTCCATTCAAGAGGTTTCTACTGAATGGTTCCAGTTCTTCCCTCGAGTTGCATCAGTATTGGAGAAAACTCTAGAACAATTGTCTTTTAACCAATAATTGAGTTTGTTGTAAATATTGGTTGATGATGTTGTGTTAACATATTTACCCCACATAACGTTTTATTTTGTTTAAGTGTCGTAAATTGGCGAAATAAGACCAGATTTAACTGTTGATTTTAAATCCTACTTTTAACCTTTTTTTTGTGTGTCTGCTGTTTTTACTTCAAACCTTTTATGACTACTTAATTTTTGTGATATAATAAACAATTTTGAGGTCTTAACAAGCATGTATTTTTCTTCTGTTTGTTCATAGTGCGGTTTCTGTTATTTAGTGATCAGTCACTTTAGTTCCGGAATGTTATAAAGTTCTCAGGTTTTCGCAATTAGTTGTTGGGGCGAAATGGTTTTTCTGGAATGAATTACTGTATAGTCTTGCGCAAACTGGGTAAGGTGCTGGTCAGCTGAGTTGCAGTCGTTTGCAGAGGGAGGTGCTGACCTTTTGGTGCGTTATCCAGGTCGTTGACTACTGTTTGAAAAGCAATATTATAACATCATTTTTTGCTTTTGATGTTGTTGGCTTCGTTTTTGCAGAGAGGTTGGATTGTACTGGGTGGTTTTTAACGTCTGGAACGGCATGACTGGTGTTTCGTTGTTTGTGAGCTAAAGTGGAATGTGGGGATGCACAGTTGTTAACGATTTGTTCCAAGCACTGTTAACTCGAGGGAAAAGTGGATGTGTTGGTGCGGTCCGTCTGTTTAGACATGGTGCTTTTGTTGAGGACCTGGAGTGACTTCACGGTACGTGCTGCGACTGGAATGTTCATGTCTCGAAAGTTGGTGTTGCAGTATTTAGTTACTCATTGGGTGGTGGTTGATTTGCACTGGAATTAAACTGTTTGTGGGTTGTTTTTACCCACTGCAGCTCCAGTATTTCTGAAAATATTTTTTCCCACTTTGGAGCTTGCTTTTCACTTTTGTGACCTAGTTAATAGTCGGCTGGGAGTTTGTTACTCGAGGATTGCTAGTATTTTTTCTTAGGTGGGTACATCAAAAGTTTCAGTCGAAATATTCAGAAGGGGTCTTTAAAAATGAGTGGTTTTAAAACGAGGAAGTGTGCACTGCCCACCGATTGATACTCACTAAGCTTTCCCCTGCACCCAAATAATGCCGACGTTTTCTGCACTGGGGACTTATTCTTTGGTACTGCAGAAAGACCTATTAGCAACTCAAGTTGCGTCTACTAATTATCGTATGAGAAGTTTCAAAACATTGATTACTTTCGTTTTCCGGGCAGGAAAACAGAACTCTCCTACGAAAGTG